ATAAAAACTATGTTAAGTCGACTTGAGGAGTCCAAAAACCGAAGAAGGTGGTGAGCTCGCATGGGAATTCAGAAACAAAAACTCACTCAAGTCGACTTGAGTGTTTTTCCTTTCAAAACCACAGTCGAATCTCATGCTTGGTTTCGAAACGAAATCCTTAAGTCGACTTGAGTGGTTTTCATTCCGAACAGTGGCATGAGCTAGAGAAATGTGTTTAGCTAGAGCTAGAGCATGTGTTTAGAAGGAATACTCCTTAACTCACCATCTCGCCTGGCCGCTTGAATTAATAGAGTTTTTACTTCTGAACGGCGGCTCAAACTCGCCTACCTTTTCAGAACGCACTCCTCAAGTCGACTTAACTAAGTTTTGCTTTTGTTAAAAACTCCTTAACTCACTTTTTTAATATAATTTGTTTAAATAATCAATTTTTGACTTCAGATCTTGATGTTTTACATAAGAGGGTGAAGTTAAATTAAAAAAATATTTATATTCAATTAGGGTTCTAAAGACAAACAGTCTTTCGTCATTTTCTCGATTTCACGAAAATATGAGTTAAGGAAGTTTTAATTTCGTACGGCAGTATAATATATATAAGCTCGAACAAACTTAGTTCCATTATCCAAATAGACTGATGATTCTTCCACAACATGTAATGAATCTTCTCAAAGCGCTTAAGGTATTTCTCCGGCTCCAGTGGTGCTCAAAGTGCTCGCGTTTAGTTTAGACGCGTCTACTCAACTGCTCACTTCACTTTCATGCTTTCTTTCTTTTTCGCATGCAGTCAATGTAGTTTTTTTTCACTTATAAAGCATACAAAAAGGAACATTTTCTCAGAGTTTCAGAAAATTTAGTCGAAAATCGATTTGCCAGAGAAATACCTTAACAATGCTTCGGTAATTAATACAATTACAAGCTCCAGATGGATAACTTTGCTATAAAAACACACAAAGACAGCAATGCATCCCTTCATTTTGGGTTAATTCCATCTAATTTCCTATCTTGATGTATACTGGTCCAGCGTAGTCCACTTCTGAATTGACGAATTGTTTCACACTTGTTGGCGTCTTAACCATATTTCCACTTTGAACGATCCAATATCATTAACGAAGATTTATTGTGATTCAGCATGAAGCAAACGTTCAATCTCTACGATTATTATCAATTCCGTGATCCGATGATGTGTGATTGCAGAATCAATGAATATTTTTGGTCATAGGGTTGATCAAAGTTTCGCAGACGTTTTCTAACACGCATTAATCTTTCACAATCGATATATGAGTACAATGGTAGCAAATGACTTTTTCAATCCAATAATCATTTATTTTTTAAGCATTTTAATTCCACTGAAAATATTTTTGTTGAATGACTCCAATCCACATTTCTATAGATTAGTGGAACTCGTCCATAAAAAGAGTTTCACTTGCTGATGCATATTTTTTTTAAAAACATTTTATATACTCGAAAGCATACACTGGTTTTCTTCAACATTTGTTTCAAATTAGAGAACAAGTACACTGATGAACATCTCGACACACTAACGTGATATACGGTTAATTTTCTTATCCTTGGAATCTCTTGCATTGGTTAAGGTTACCCTAGCCAACGTATACAATCAGATTGGAGCCATTATAGTCCTTTCCACCATAACTGAATCCTATCAAGTTTTCTAGCTCTCACGCCTCTTGACACAAGATCTTCTGGATTGATGATTCCTAGAATGTGACACCACGCATTCACATTCTTTAGCTAATAGATTTATAATATAAAATGTAAAATTGGAAATTTTTGTGCGCCCGTCAGGTGATGCCTTTAGCGGTAATTAAGTATTTATTTATAGAATTGCGTCCGATGTACACACGACATTTTGTCATTCCAGAACACCGTTAAACTTTCAACCGATCGTTGTTTTTGTATAGTAAATACTTTCAGAGTTTGAATGTCCCTTATTCCATTAATTGATATGTCTTGTTAAGGAATTCTCAATTGCAATTTTTTACACAACAATGCTGCCATAAAATTAAAAAAATTTGGATTCTTTTTAATTCCGTTCAAGAAAAAAGTGCAATGAAATTAATAAATAAATAAATTTGAGTTTCATTGTATACCTTTCGGTTTTTACAATCCCCTCTCAAACATATCTCAACCTTACCCTGACGTCCCAATTTGAAATCAATTTGAAATCGAATTGTGGTCCAAATTAGGACGGCAGAGAGTGCTCACTACATTTAGGTCCCTACTTGGGCGGCTGCAGCCGCCTTTTGAATAGATAAACTGTACTAGCATTAGCCTGGGCATTTGGCCACGGGAAGGGAAAACTACAGAAAAACCTTCCCGAGTACAGCCGATTTATGTCCGCCGAGTCTTGCATGTGTTAATTCGAATTCTCGAATATTAACACAACCAAGTCTTCGGTTTCAAATCGCCCGCCCAGAATATCTCATCGGAAAAATCCCCAGCTAGCGGGGGGGGGGCGAACCCAGATCCTAGGTTCGCTCCACCCACAAAGCCGACGCTCTAACCACTGAGCTATTCTGACGGTTGCAATGAAATTAATAGAAATAAAGCAAATTTTCATGCATAAATGACCTTTTATAATTAATTAATGTTGATTTCAAGGAATACAGTGTAATTTTCTTACTCGCTTTCCTTGTAATTCCTATAATAATACGAGAAACTTTTTGTTTTCAACATAACCTAAAAAATCTGTTGAGCGAAACCCAATCAGCACAAAAGCTTGCAGTAAACTTGCAACGGGCTTGCATTGCAAAGAGGGAAAGCTTGTGGCAAGTTTGTTGCAAGTAACAAAATGTCCTACTGCTGCAAGCTTGCACTGCCAACTTGCTGCAAGTTTACAAAATAAGCTTGCTCTAGAACGGTTCTAGAATGTGCACACTAGAACTGATCTATAACAATGCAGTAACCATGTTATTGCACAATTCCAGAAATAATCTAGAACTACTGTTCTAGAACAAAATATTACAGAACAAATACAGAACAAATGTTACAGAACAAATCTAAAACACAGTTCTAGAACTGTTCTATAATAAAAATTATACTAACCCAAGTAGCACGTAACATTACTGTAATGTCACTGTAATGTTACATGTAATGTTAGTAATATTACAATGTGACTTTACCGGTTGAGTGTGACGTCATATTAGATATCTCTATTTCATCTTCATTTGCTTTCGTAATGCGCATGCTTCACACAGGAACAAACAGGTCAACGATTTTAGTGAGATAGTACATACCTTGTGTTTTGCGCCAACTCAAAATTCTAGAGTTTAAGCTCCCTATTCACTATGGTCACAAAACTGACTGAATCGTGCATCCACGATAAAATAGTATATTAAGCGACACGGGTCTAAAGGCAGCTATTAGTGAACCGCGATTTTTGAGAACGAGTGAAGGTCGAGAACGAGCTGCCGTAACCGAGGTGAAGCCAAGCGAGTTTAAGACCGAAACGAGTGAGTCAAAAATCGGGGTTCATTAATTAGCTGCCTTTAGCCCCATGTCCCTTACTAAACTTTTTATTCCGAGGGCACAAAAAAAGGCGCTTTTAGATACCTGTGGATAGGGTTTTATGCCACTCATTGATGAAAACGGGTCAATAATCCAATAACTTGTCAAATTTTACGCCCTAGGGCGAACAAGAGAGTTCATTTTTGACCTGTTTCATCAATGAGTGGCTTTACGCCCTATCCACAGATATCTAAAAGCGCCTATTTTGTGCCTGAGGAATAAAAAATATTTTACACGACATGGGGAGAGGCCAATTTACAGTCGGGCGAAGTTTTTAGCATTCATCTCGCACTCCGATTCACTCATCCTTCGCCTTCGCGCCTTCGGCGCTCATGCTACAGCTTCCCCGCGCTCGACGCATGCTAAAAACATCCGCTCTCTCCGTAAATTCGCCTGTCTCCTCCAAGCTGTGCAATAGACTATTAAAAGACAAAAAAAAAAAAAAAATGTAAACAAAAAAAATTAGATTTTTTTTTTTTGAAAAAAAAATTTTTTTTTAAAAAAAAAAATTTTGAATTTTTTTTCTTTAAAAAAAAAAATTTTTTTTATTTAATTAAGAACAAAATTTTTTTTTTCTTAACAAAAAAAATTTTTTTCTTATAGAGAAAAAAAAGTTTTTTTTTTTTTTTCAAAAAAAAATTTTTTTGTGTCAATTTTGTACCGACTGATTAAAATTAATATACAAAATGTTACCAAATAGATTTTTAATGTCAGCTTCCGTAAAATCAATAGCTTCAATTGATTGTTTATCAAAAAAGTCATCTGAAACATAAATTACGTAAATTGTACTGCTCTTCCTTATACTCAAAAAAAGAAATAATATACTCTTAAAATCTGTAGCAAGAATAACTAACCTTCTAGAGAGATCTGCTGCTTATTACTTTCTTTATAATCGTTTATATTTTTTATATTCAACTTTTCTTTAGAATTTAAGCGCTCTATTTGAATTAATTTAGGTTTACTTGGTTGTACATTCGTATTTTCTTTCATTTCTTTTTCTTCATTATTGCTTTCATATTTAAAATCTTGCATCTTCTTTAATTCATTATTAATACTATCTTTTTTATTGTTTTCGTTACTTGTAGGTTTAATACATCGTACAATTGTGTCTACATTCACTTCTTCATCTTCCTTTTTTCTTTCTTCATTAAAATCTTGTATATTCTTTATTTCGTTATTAATACTATTTTCTTTCTTGTTTTCATCAATTTTAGGTTGTAGTACATTTGTATCTTTTTTCATTTTTTCATCTTCTTCTTTCTTTTCTTTGTTTGAATCTAGCATCTTCTTTATTTCATTATTGATGTTATCTATATCACTGCTTTCATCCATTTCGTCTGAAATTAGTTTTTAAGAAAATTAAATATTAAATATAAAATTCGAATTTTAGTAGAATTATTAATAAAACTATAAATACATACTAGTTTCACGTAGGATTTGTGTCATTTTTCTTATATAATCTGAAATATTATAATAAATATAGCTTTATAACTTTTAGATAGAAAAATTGTATCTTTTACATACTCTAATAGTATTTAAAAATATAAAGCTCTCTATGAGGAAAAAAAATCAGAGTTTACTAAGTAAACAACAAAATATTACCAAAATCAAGATTCCAAAGTGGATTCTCTTTTTTTATTATTTTTTTTAGACATCCTTCCGATATTCTTGATTTTGTTTTTTCTGTGGTTCTGATGAAGTTGATGCAACATCAGATTCCTCCATTACCTCGTCTTCTTCGATATCATCATCTGGCGATAATTCTGGGCATGAATATTTTTTGACAAATGGTTTTTTACCTGTAAAACAAAATGTTAAATTAATAATTTATGCCTCAATTACTTAATAGATCATTATTTAACTGACAGTTTACTTTACTATATTGACAAATTCAACTATAATGACAAAATTAATCTATATTAAAAATAAACCTTTTTTTTTCTTTTTCGAACTTTCGTCAGAAGAACTCTCAGAAATGTAGATTGCTTCATTTTTCACCAAGTGATGCTTTTTTTGACTGATAGAAAGGTTTTCTTCATCTACATAATAAAATATTTTAATTATTCTACTGAAAGTGAACAATAAAAATTAAGACTATCTCTTATTAAAATCTTACCATTTTTCTCTTTTTTTATATTTGAAGATTTCTTTATATGTTTTGCTCTGGCAGAAGAAACTTTTAAATTCTTCTCATTTTTTAAAGGATGAATGTTTTTTAAAACTTTAAGATCCAAATCTAAATTAGTGTACTTCATAGTTGTGGTTGCTAAGAAATAGCAGAAAGCGATTGAATAATTTTTATTTATTGCTTTAAATAGAAAAATGTGACTTTAATGAAAAAAGGAGTATTAAAAAATGTTGCAACAATATTCAAATTTTTAATCTTTTTTTGTAAAGTTTTAAATTTATAGATGTAATTATTGAAAATTTAAAAAGAACTTGATAACAATAATATTAATTAAAAATGTAACACTTACGTTTAATATTTTTCAAAAAATTTTCGCATTCTGTCGTCAATTCCAGCATTGTTTCTTTAGTTTTTAATCTGCAATTTATTATTAAATATTTATTTATTATTAATTGCATAAATTATAGAGTATTAAAGGTCAATATATTTAATTAAATCAAAAAATTTACTAACTTTCCTGACGAAGTACGAAACTTATGCCAAATGTCTTCAACTTTTTCATTAATCTCACTCGTTGGTGTCCTTTTTGTCGAAACTTCTTGTGAGTAAAATCCTTTCAGAAATTCTGTAATATTAATATTCTTAATTTATATGATATGATCTTTAAAGGTTGTATTATATTATACAACATTTTATTATGAGCATTGATATTATGAATTTTTTGAAATTATATAATAACTAATTATCAGGTTAATGTTTATTCAAAAAACTTTTAAATAATACTACATGAAATACGATATTATTAAAAAAATAGTTACCAATTAACTCCCCGGCAGATTTTGATTTAAACATTTTTTCCACTTGACTGATACATATCTGCATTGCCGTATTTGTTCTTAAAGCATCGACTTCATGTAAGACAATTATTCCTGCCAAATCCACAATTATATTTGAGACTGCTTGAGTAAAATTTTGTACGGCTTTGGTGGATTTTTTTATTACACAACCCATACATAAACATCCTTCACAAATCCTGTCTTTCGGCAATAATGGCAGTGCAAATGCGAAAGCAAGTAATTTAGAATCTGATTGAATTAAATTATTTTGAATTCACAATTCTTTTACGATCTGTAAAATGGAATTTTGTGAATATACAATTCAAACTGAGTAGTGCTTAATTAATTTCAATATATAATTAAAAAATTTACTTGTCTGAAATGCCACCATGTGGATGAATATATCACCTCTGGAAAAGCTTTATTGCAAGCTATTAGTAATTCCCCATCGTAGGGGCTAAAAATTTTTTCTAAATGTGGAAATGTGCCCTCTGTTTGAAAAAATTCCATCGATTTTGCTTTGACCTCTTTCGTGAAGTTTCCCGAAATTATAATGAAAGCGACGTACACCTTGTATAAAATAAGCAGTATTATTAATAATTATTGTATGATTTTTATTTTAAATAATTTAGTGACTCAATATCAGTAATAAATATGCATACATTTTTAAATTTTGTATTTATTACATTTCTGAGTATTGCTTAAGCGGAGTCACAACCTTTATTTTGAATCCTTTAAATTTTAATGATTTTCATCGCCAATTTTTTTAATGATTCTTAAGAATTTCTCGCATAGATTTTCAAAAATTTAATTTTTGTAAAAAAGAAAGGAAAATATGAGTTAAAGTATAATTTCATTCTTCTATTAAATATATATCTCCTTTCACAATTTTAAGTATTTTTAATAGTCAAATTTTTTCAACACCTTTTTAATGATTCTTAAGAGTCTCTTGCATAGATTTTCAAAAAATAAAATTGTTTTTTTTTACCACCTTATATGGATTTAGGACCCAAATGATGTAAGAAAAAAAATATAACCTCGTTTAATAATTTAAATTTAAATGGGTCAAAATAATGGTAGTGAATCTCCTTAAGTATTGGTACTTACTGCTTTTCCATCTACAATTAATATATTTGCAACATTGACGCTAAATTTTTTAAATGTCATCTGTAACATGAATTAAATATTTCGTACTGAAAAAATTATGTAACTACATTTAAAAATATTAAAATAAAAAATATTTTTTGAAACCTGTATTGAAGCATCGATGTAGATGTTTTTAATGCTTTCTTTACATTTTGCAACATTTAAAATATAGGTCCCTTTTACAATTTCCAACCAGGCTGAATCCAATTTATCGAGTTCTTGGAAAAATTTTATTCCAGTATCTATATTCATTACAGACTTCATTTTTGCTTTCTGCATTCTCGGTCTTAATCCTTGGAATGAAAGATTAACTCCGTATCTAAAACCATTATAATTAGTAGCAGTGAGAGGAATCGTTTAAGAAACTATAAACATTTGTAAAGAACATAAGTAAGAAATTGTTAGATTTGAAAATAATTACAACTAAAAGAATACATCTTTTTAAGTCATCTTTCATTGGTGCTTTTACACAAATATATATAATAAAACATTGTATTGTAAAATTAAAATAAATCTACAAAAAAAGCTGGCAACATTATTTTATTTTTGTCAACAAACTTATTGCAAATACTGCTAATTCTATACTTATTTGAGTTGAAAAAAATTATTTGTAAATCAAAATATATTGTGTTGAAATTTCGAAAATAATATTAATGCCTAAAAGTAAGAGTTTTTTGAAATAAAAGAATTTACTATTAAAAAAACACTTGAAACTAATATTTTCAACTTATAAATTATATCAATTTAAATTACTAATAATGCAAAAATTTTGTTTTTGTAAAAAAGTAGCGTTGTCAACTTTTTGTAAGTATTAAAATACCGGTTACAAACTTCTTTGAAAATTTCAGAATGACTACAATTATAATCGTTTTCGCAGAATTTTAAAATTTCTTCTTTGGCTTTTTCTTCATTTTCAAAATCCCGCGATTCGTCTAAATGGTTATGATTTTCATGAATTTCAGACTGTAACCACTCCCCATTGTCTAGTTTGATAATTTTGGCCTTACATTTTAAACGTTTAAAGGAGCAATAAGCAACATTTTCATTTCTGAAAGATTTATAATATTTTGAACCGTCTAATAAAATGAGCCAAAAATTCAGAACGTTCGCCGAACAAAAAAAAATTTTTTTTAAAAAAAAAAAATTTTTATTGGAAAACCTTCAGAATGGTGAAAAACTACAATATCAATAATAAAAAATTGACATTTTTAAAAAATAGGGTAAAAACAACCCCCATTAAGAATAAATATAAAAATATTGCGAATATGACGACTTTCCTGTTCGCCTTTTTTCCTAAAAATATTTTTAAAAATTCTCTTTTATTATCCCCTTCCAAAATCCATATTCGGTATAACGCGCTCGAACCCCTAAAACCACCCCTAACACATATATCCCATAGAAGGCCTCAAATTGGTCAATTTCACGACTTTCCTGTTCGCCTTTTTTCCTAAAAATATTTTTAAAAATTCTCTTTTATTATCCCCTTCCAAAATCCATATTCGGTATAACGCGCTCGAACCCCTAAAACCACCCCTAACACATATATCCCATAGAAGGCCTCAAATAGGTCAATTTCACGACTTCCCTGTTCGCCTTTTTTCCTGAAAATATTTTTAAAAATTCTCTTTTATTATCCCCTTCCAAAATCCATATTCGGTATAACGCGCTCGAACCCCTAAAACCACCCCTAACACATATATCCCATACAAAGCCTCAAATTGGTCAATTTCACGACTTTCCTGTTCGCCTTTTTTCCTGAAAATATTTTTAAAAATTCTCTTTTATTATCCCCTTCCAAAATCCATATTCGGTATAACGCGCTCGAACCCCTGAAAACCACCCCTAACACATATATCGCTTGCCGGACCGTATATTGGTCGAATTCACGACTTTCCTGTTCGCCTTTTTTCCTGAAAATATTTTTAAAAATTCTCTTTTATTATCCCCTTCCAAAATCCATATTCGGTATAACGCGCTCGAACCCCTAAAACCACCCCTAACACATATATCGCTTGCCGGACCGTATATTGGTCGAATTCACGACTTTCCTGTTCGCCTTTTTTCCTGAAAATATTTTTAAAAATTCTCTTTTATTATCCCCTTCCAAAATCCATATTCGGTATAACGCGCTCGAACCCCTAAAACCACCCCTAACACATATATCCCATAGAAGGCCTCAAATTGGTCAATTTCACGACTTTCCTGTTCGCCTTTTTTCCTAAAAATATTTTTAAAAATTCTCTTTTATTATCCCCTTCCAAAATCCATATTCGGTATAACGCGCTCGAACCCCTAAAACCACCCCTAACACATATATCCCATAGAAGGCCTCAAATAGGTCAATTTCACGACTTCCCTGTTCGCCTTTTTTCCTGAAAATATTTTTAAAAATTCTCTTTTATTATCCCCTTCCAAAATCCATATTCGGTATAACGCGCTCGAACCCCTAAAACCACCCCTAACACATATATCCCATACAAAGCCTCAAATTGGTCAATTTCACGACTTTCCTGTTCGCCTTTTTTCCTGAAAATATTTTTAAAAATTCTCTTTTATTATCCCCTTCCAAAATCCATATTCGGTATAACGCGCTCGAACCCCTGAAAACCACCCCTAACACATATATCGCTTGCCGGACCGTATATTGGTCGAATTCACGACTTTCCTGTTCGCCTTTTTTCCTGAAAATATTTTTAAAAATTCTCTTTTATTATCCCCTTCCAAAATCCATATTCGGTATAACGCGCTCGAACCCCTAAAACCACCCCTAACACATATATCGCTTGCCGGACCGTATATTGGTCGAATTCACGACTTTCCTGTTCGCCTTTTTTCCTGAAAATATTTTTAAAAATTCTCTTTTATTATCCCCTTCCAAAATCCATATTCGGTATAACGCGCTCGAACCCCTAAAACCACCCCTAACACATATATCCCATAGAAGGCCTCAAATTGGTCAATTTCACGACTTTCCTGTTCGCTTTTTTTCCTGAAAATATTTTTAAAAATTCTCTTTTATTATCCCCTTCCAAAATCCATATTCGGTATAACGCGCTCGAACCCCTGAAAACCACCCCTAACACATATATCGCTTGCCGGACCGTATATTGTTCGAATTCACGACTTTCCTGTTCGCCTTTTTTCCTGAAAATATTTTTAAAAATTCTCTTTTATTATCCCCTTCCAAAATCCATATTCGGTATAACGCGCTCGAACCCCTAAAACCACCCCTAACACATATATCCCATAGAAGGCCTCAAATTGGTCAATTTCACGACTTTCCTGTTCGCCTTTTTTCCTGAAAATATTTCTAAAAATTCTCTTTTATTATCCCCTTCCAAAATCCATATTCGGTATAACGCGCTCGAACCCCTAAAACCACCCCTAACACATATATCCCATAGAAGGCCTCAAATTGGTCAATTTCACGACTTTCCTGTTCGCCTTTTTTCCTGAAAATATTTTTAAAAATTCTCTTTTATTATCCCCTTCCAAAATCCATATTCGGTATAACGCGCTCGAACCCCTAAAACCACCCCTAACACATATATCCCATAGAAGGCCTCAAATTGGTCAATTTCACGACTTTCCTGTTCGCCTTTTTTCCTAAAAATATTTTTAAAAATTCTCTTTTATTATCCCCTTCCAAAATCCATATTCGGTATAACGCGCTCGAACCCCTAAAACCACCCCTAACACATATATCCCATAGAAGGCCTCAAATTGGTTAATTTCACGACTTTCCTGTTCGCCTTTTTTCCTAAAAATATTTTTAAAAATTCTCTTTTATTATCCCCTTCCAAAATCCATATTCGGTATAACGCGCTCGAACCCCTGAAAACCACCCCTAACACATATATCGCTTGCCGGACCGTATATTGGTCGAATTCACGACTTTCCTGTTCGCCTTTTTTCCTGAAAATATTTTTAAAAATTCTCTTTTATTATCCCCTTCCAAAATCCATATTCGGTATAACGCGCTCGAACCCCTGAAAACCACCCCTAACACATATATCGCTTGCCGGACCGTATATTGGTCGAATTCACGACTTTCCTGTTCGCCTTTTTTCCTGAAAATATTTTTAAAAATTCTCTTTTATTATCCCCTTCCAAAATCCATATTCGGTATAACGCGCTCGAACCCCTAAAACCACCCCTAACACATATATCCCATACAAAGCCTCAAATTGGTCAATTTCACGACTTTCCTGTTCGCCTTTTTTCCTAAAAATATTTTTAAAAATTCTCTTTTATTATCCCCTTCCAAAATCCATATTCGGTATAACGCGCTCGAACCCCTAAAACCACCCCTAACACATATATCCCATAGAAGGCCTCAAATTGGTCAATTTCACGACTTTCCTGTTCGCCTTTTTTCCTGAAAATATTTTTAAAAATTCTCTTTTATTATCCCCTTCCAAAATCCATATTCGGTATAACGCGCTCGAACCCCTAAAACCACCCCTAACACATATATCCAATAGAAGGCCTCAAATTGGTCAATTTCACGACTTTCCTGTTCGCCTTTTTTCCTGAAAATATTTTTAAAAATTCTCTTTTATTATCCCCTTCCAAAATCCATATTCGGTATAACGCGCTCGAACCCCTAAAACCACCCCTAACACATATATCCCATAGAAGGCCTCAAATTGGTCAATTTCACGACTTTCCTGTTCGCCTTTTTTCCTAAAAATATTTTTAAAAATTCTCTTTTATTATCCCCTTCCAAAATCCATATTCGGTATAACGCGCTCGAACCCCTAAAACCACCCCTAACACATATATCGCTTGCCGGACCGTATATTGGTCGAATTCACGACTTTCCTGTTCGCCTTTTTTCCTGAAAATATTTTTAAAAATTCTCTTTTATTATCCCCTTCCAAAATCCATATTGGGTATAATGCGCTCGAACCCCTAAAACCACCCCTAACACATATATCCCATAGAAGGCCTCAAATTGGTCAATTTCACGACTTTCCTATTCGCCTTTTTTCCTGAAAATATTTTTAAAAATTCTCTTTTATTATCCCCTTCCAAAATCCATATTCGGTATAACGCGCTCGAACCCCTAAAACCACCCCTAACACATATATCCCATAGAAGGCCTCAAATTGGTCAATTTCACGACTTTCCTGTTCGCCTTTTTTCCTAAAAATTTTTTTTAAAAATTCTCTTTTATTATCCCCTTCCAAAATCCATATTCGGTATAACGCGCTCGAACCCCTAAAACCACCCCTAACACATATATCCCATAGAAGGCCTCAAATTGGTCAATTTCACGACTTTCCTGTTCGCCTTTTTTCCTAAAAAT